ACAAGTAGCGCAATACATTACCATATGATTGTCTTTACATATATATTGATTACAATCCTTACATTTTTGTGTACACATTTTATTTGCACTTCTGGGACATAAATAACATCTTTTAGTTTCATTAGATTTAGTATTTTTCGGACGTTTGGGTTGAGATCCAGAAGGCATAGATTTGGACGAATGAGATTCAAGCGGTTGTGTCAATATTGTCGAACCGTACGGTCGTGTGATATTAGTGATTATATTATGTAAATCCCGACTAATAGTCTGAACTTTCAAACGGGAAATCATTTCAGGGACGGCCAAACATTCTCCCAATGTATGCAAAAATTCACGGCGAATACGTGATTCAATTGGTTTTGGATCACTATTTACATTATGATGTCTATAAATAATAAAACTATTTGTAGCCATTATATCAAGAATTCCATAGAATGCTGCTGTTGGCCAACGTTTTGGACGTCTTCCTGATGAATATGTTGAGCACAATTGATCCATTGTGTCGACGCCTCCCTTTGTTTTATTATAGTCTTCAATTATCTCTGGCTTTAGTGTTGTGGGATTTATTAAATTATTGTCATGCATTGTGCTTAACAGTAATACAGTTTTATTTTTCTTCGGATAATATGCTAATAGAGATATATTATTATTGCGAACGAATTCTGTGTGCAATAACTGTAAATAAATCAATGAAAATATTTAATAATTTTATTTGTAAGGCAGTACAGCAGAGTGATAGCGCTATCACTCTGCTGTACTAATATATAAATAAACAAATGGCAATTAAATTTACCGGTCGTTTCTTTTTTGCAATCAATTCCTTTGGGATTTCTCTCTTATTTTTTTTAAGAGTGCCAATAATTGTCAAATTGTGAACTAATAATTCTTGAGCTAAAGGCAAGCTTGTGAACCAATTATCACAAGTGATATTTCTCCCAGAACCTCTCAATGGTTTTGTTAAATCGAGAACTATATTTAATCCAAGATTTTTAGCTCTATTACCATCGACTTTTCCAGTGTAAAACATGGCATCCCAGCAATAGGCTGTTTTTGCATCACATATGAGAAAAAATTTCAATCCATATTTAGCCGGTTTATTTGGCATGTATTGTTTGAAAGGACATCGACCTCTAAATGCCCTCAACTGTTCATCAATTATCACAAATTCAGATAATTCGTAATTTTTTTTTACAATTTTTACGAAAAATGTTGAAAATTTCACTAAAGAGTGCCAGTTTATCACCGGTGGCAATTCGGGCACCTCTTGAGTTTTCGTGATCAAAACAAACATGAGCTGTCAGAAACTGAAAGCGCCTTAACGACATGACCGCTCGGAAAATGTCACGGCCTCGGCCATTAGTGTCCCATAAATCAGCCGCATTTTCATGGGCAGATTTATGCACTCCTATTAATAATGACACTCCAATCCACGCCAGGATTTCTCTGTCATTTGTCTTATGCTCATATGACTGGCATTTGGTTTGTGATTGAATTTTTGGATTGATTTTGTGGTAAATCTTATTATTGGTATTAATCACAATCAATTTTAACATATCATCCGTTAAAAATTGTCTAAATGTAGATAAAACATCTGAACAGTCAGTGGACGTGACTTTTGGTCCACTATGAAAGCGAATAATATTGTGTTGTGATGTCTTAGCCAATGAATTGGATGACTGCGATGATGTCGGCTGAGTCACGCTTTGTCTCAAATTGAAGTGATTGTTATCTTCATCTGAATCAGTTTCAGAGTAGTAAACTGGCTCTGAATCTGAGTCCAATTCAATCTCGGACAAACTATCATGTTCACTGTTTTCAGTGTGATTTGAATTAATGTCACTATCATTGTCTTCGTATGTGTTATTATTATCTTGATTTAATAACCAATCCAAGTTATTATTTGTCGACATTTTATTTATTATTAATTACAATAAATTGTACAGAAGGGTGATAGCGCTATCACCTTTCTGTACTGATTTTATTTACACAAATTGTCATTTTTATTAATTTTTTACTTGATTCAAATTGATTCATTGATTAGTAATTACATTTCATAACACAATATAACGCACAAACACTTGATATGAGATTCAATGCATCAAAGAGTACACTATGGCTGACGTGTGTTCATTGAGTGTGTGTTCAAATAATTACAAAAAAATGTTACCACTATGCACACAACGTATACAATAAAATATACAGCCAATCAGGTCTGCGCGTAATACATGTACATTGCTGTTAACGCTGTTTATGCTGTATTTGTTTACACAGTAAAATCCTGCCACTATGCACACAACGTATACAATAACGATTAGTACTGTTTAGCCTATGAACAAAAACTCACGTATCGCGCACAATGGCAGGATTTTATATAAAATCATGTTTTAATCGTACTTACAATTAACTTATTTCATTGAAAAATTCTAAATATTTAAAACTTTTTGCCTTTGAGGCATTCCTGAAATTCTTAGTACCTGGTGCTTATTGTTGATTTTTAAATAATTGTTGAACACAACATTCATATAAATCCTGCCACAATGCGCGTTAAGAGTTAAAAATTTAAAACTTTTTGCCTTTGAGGCATTCCTGAAATTCTTAGTACCTGGTGCTTATTGTTGATTTTTAAATAATTGTTGAACACAACATTCATATAAATCCTGCCACAATGCGCGTTAAGAGTTAAATGAAAACCATATGAATATTTAGAAATTTTGTTTACTTTTGTTATTAGAAAACCTATTTTTAGGAAATAATGCAAATTTGAAACTTTTATGATTGCCTTTTAGAGCAAAGGTATGGAAATTTGATCGTTAGATATGCAGTAAGACTTGATTTCTCATTCAGTATTGCAGAGACTTTTGTGGCAAAAGTGTCACTAAAATGAAGAAATATCTGTGAAAGACGTAATATTTTTCCGGCCAAAGGACTTGTGATATAGACTTTGTGTTTAATTTTTGTTATTTTGTATATCATTTTCATTTAATTGTCTCTAATATTGTTATCAATAAAAAGTGTATTGTTTTCGGTGTCGCAAACAAATGGATCAGTTATTAGACTATAAGACACTTTACATCATATCGAGAAACCTAACGCCACAGGAATACAGGGATCTAAGGATACTGTGTGTCTTCGGACGAGTGTCTGTCATATATGTGACATATGATGACAAAGTGTACGGCTTTGGCGACAATCGCTACGGATGTCTGGGTTTGGGTGCGGACTTTTATAACATATCCCGTCCCACACTTAACCTACACCTGAGCGGCAAGTGTTTGATAGATATCCAATACGGGTACTTCTTTGGTATTGGATTGACAGCTGATGGCCGGTGCTATTCGTGGGGAGTCAACAATTTTGGTCAACTGGGCGTCGGCTCAACGGACAAGCATTCAGTGCCTCAACTAATTGGCGGTGATTTAACGGACAAACGGGTGACCGGTATGTGTGTCTCTGATTCAACAACACTGGCGCTCACAGAATGCCAACGTATGTACGGTTGGGGTCACAATATGTTCGGCCAATTGGGTGACCGCACTGTGGATCACAAGTTTTAACCCGTGCTCATCGAGTTTGGCCACAAAATAGCGGACTTTTCGTGCGGCAAAACCCACGCCATGGCGTTGACAGACACGGGCCGAGTCTACACGTGGGGTAATAATAGAAACGGACAGTTGGGTCGAGAGATGGAGACTAACGACAAGAATTGCTTGATGTCTATTATTACTCGTCCAAAACTTTTAGACTTTATTCCCGTCGTCCGTAAAGTCGTGTGCGGTTCCGATCACTCCCTACTGTTGACCACCGATGGAGAGGTCTATGGGTTCGGTATGAATTCATGCGGACAGATAGGCAATGGCTCAAAAGATACTCAGTTTCTACCGACTATAGTCTCGGATCAAATCAGATTCAAAGATATTAGCGCTAAAAATTTGAGTCACATATCAATTGGTGTTGCGGTCGACGACGAGTACTATATATGGGGTGAATGCGATCGCAAACCAATACTTAGACCCAAAAAAGTGGGTAAAAATGGTGTCAAATCTGTTTTTGAACTGTTTATCAAATTTTCAAATAAGATAACACACATTGTCTGTCCATCGAATCAATTAACGAGTGCTTCCAATGAGTGCTCAGATGTTGTGACCATCGATTCAGACACACAAGAAGTGAATAAAAATGACAACTCAACGCTATTTAAGATAACAAATTTAGTGATCCCTAACATTAGAAATAACAGAACGAGTGTTACGACCACTTCTTTGGATTTGCCTCTTAGCCACTCTTCAGTGACCATTGATTCCACACAATCATCTCTTTTGAACTCAAAGTTTCAGCAAAATCTGTGCAAATCTTTCAATAATCCCAAAGACTCTGATATTGTGTTTCGGTTTAGGGATCAACTGATTTATGGCCACAAACTTATACTTAAGATAAGTAACGAAAGGTTTTGGGGAAAATGCGAACACAATATCGACGCCGACGGCAAAGAGATTCGTGTCAAACAGTATTCATATAAAAGTTTTTTAGCTTTTATTCAGTATTTATACACAAACTGTGTTGAAATCGGCGCCGATTTTGTCGACCAATTGCTAACTTTGGCCAACATTTACGGCGAGGAATCGCTGGCGAGTCTGTGCTCTCTGTTTATGATACAATCCATTGATGTCTTCAATGTGTGCCATCTCTACGCCAAAGCACTGGAACTAAAGTGCGAAGAATTGGAGACCAAATGCCATCACTTTATGGCACAGAATATTAAAGACATTTGTTTAACACAAGAATTTCTTGAATTTGACAGCGATTTAGCGAAACAGTTCATTATTCAGGCATTCATTACACACTCTAATAGTATGCGATTTTCACCTAATGAATAACTTTTATTGATATTTTCATAATTATTTGTATTAATAAAACAATTTTAATTAAACATTACTGACTAAATATTTATTAAACTAATTATAATTAGAATAAAACAAGTTAAATATGGCATTACTGTAATCATGGAAGTTTTCTTCATAATACACCTGTACTGTAGAATAGTTACTGTTTTCATTAACAGCACATTTTTCCCAAAACTTAAATGCAAATCAAGGGCAGAGCCCGCAGGCGATCCATAAAACCCTTCACTACCGGCGCGCACTCAGGGATGAGGTTATCCTACACTTAATCCCTGATAAAAATACTTATATTAAATGAAAACCATATGAATATTTCAAATATTTTGTTTACTTTTATTATTAGAAAACCTATTTTTAGGAAATAATGCAAATTTGAAACTTTTATGATTGCCTTTTAGATCAAAGGTATGGCTTTTGATCGCTAGATATGCAGTAAGACTTGATTTCGAAAAGAATATCATTTAGTATTGCAGAGACTTTTGTGGCGAAAGTGTCACTAAAATGAAGAAATATCTGTGAAATACATCTTATATTTTAGACCAAAACACTTGTGTTACAGACGTTGTGTTTAATTATTGGTGTATTAGTAAGTATTTTCTCTAATTGTTTGTTTAATTAGTTTTTTAATACTGTTTTGCGAGAAATATTTAAACTCTTGTCAGAAAAATAATTAATATTTTTTATTATATTCAGATCGCGATAATAAGTGACCAGAAAAAGCTCCCAATTGTCCCAAAACAGTAATTGTAAGTCAATTAAAAGGGCATTGTTTTCAGTTGACCCACAAAATGGAGCAGTTATTAGATTACAAGACATTTTATGTGATTTCCAATCACATCACACCAGAACAATACCGTAATCTGAAGATTCTGTGTGTCTTCGGCGGCATATCCGTCATATACGTGACAAACGACGACAAAGTGTATGGTTTTGGCAATAATAGCAACGGATGTCTGGGTTTGGGCGCCGACTACAGGCGCATACATCGACCCGCACTCAACCCATACCTGAGCGGCAAGTATTTGGCTGATGTTGCAATCGGGAGACAGTTTTGTATCGGACTGACAGCGGATGGCCGGTGCTATTCATGGGGTGCCAACGATTTCGGTCAACTGGGCGTCGGATACGTCCATAAAGAGGGCGCACCGAAACTCATGAAGGGATTGGCCGACAAACGAGTGATCCGTATTTGCGCCTCTCAGTACTTTGCACTGGCGTTGACTGAATGCGGCCGAGTGTACGGCTGGGGCCGTAACTCGTTTGGCCTGTTGTGTGAACGCACCCATCGTATCACGTATTACCCAAAAGAGTTAATATTTGACCACAAAATTGCGGACATTTCGTGCGATTCAACCCACGCCATGGCGTTGACAGACACGGGCCGAGTCTACACGTGGGGTAACAACAGAAACGGACAGTTAGGTCGAGGCTTAAAAATATTGGGAGATAGGCGTCCGATGTTAAGCAGTAAATGTCCAAAACTCTTAAACTCACGTCGTCCGTAAAGCCGTTTGCGGTTCCGATCACTCGATGCTATTGACCACCGATGGAGAGGTCTATGCGTTTGGTATGAACTCATACGGACAGGTAGGCAATGGCATCAGAGGCGCTCAGTTTCTGCTGATACAAGTCTCGGATCGGATTATATTCAAAGATATTGTCACAAATAATATGAGTAATATGTCTATCGGTGTTGCCGTCGACGGCGAGTACTATATATGGGGTGAATGTGAAGACAAATTAGTATTTAATCCGCAAAATGTAGACAAAAATAGCATCAAATCTGTGTTTGAATTGTTTGTCAAGTATTCAAAATTCAAGACAACTTATAAGACGATTGTTTGTCCGGCAATTCATTTGACAAGTGATTCAACTGAATGTTCAGACATTGTGTCCACCGATTTAGACACACAATCGCCGCAAGAAATCACTTGTTTTGATAAAATGTTGGACAAGAATTCAGGGAATCGGGAATCAAAAGAAAACGTGCCGACTATTGACAGCACAGTTGATGACAAAACAATTAAACAATCATCGCTTCAGAACATGGGTTCAAACATATCAATCACTTCTTCGTTGAATGCGACTATATTTCAACAAAATCTGAGCCAATCTTTCAATAATCCCGAAGACTCTGATATTGTGTTCCGATTTAGGGATCAACTGATTTATGGCCATAAACTTATCCTTAAGATGCGAAACAAAAAGTTTTGGCACAAATGCGAACACTATATGGACGCCGACGGCAAAGAGATTCGTGTCAAACAGTATTCATATAAAAGTTTTTTGACATTTATTCAGTATTTATACACTAATTGTACGGAAATCAGAGCCGATATTGTCGACCAATTGCTAACTCTGGCCAACATTTATGGCGAAGAATCGCTGGCGAGTCTATGCTCTCAGTTTATGATACAATCCATTGATGTCTTCAATGTGTGCCAACTCTACGCCAAAGCACTGGATCTAAAGTGCGAAGAACTCGAGACCAAATGCCATCACTTTATGGCACAAAATATGAAAGAAGTTTGTTTAACACAAGAGTTCTCAGAATTTGACGGCGAGTTAGCCAAACAACTCATTATTCAGGCATTCATTGCAAACTAAGAATGTTTTTAATTATAACTCTTATTATAATCATTAACTTTTATTACAATACATAGAGATATACAATGATTATTTACCTAGTAATTGCTTTATGTATTATTTTTAAATAACCATGTTTGTACTATTGAACAATTAGAAATAATAAAAGTACACTTTACGACAAAATAAATTTAAAAACTAATAGAAAATAATAAGCAGTGTTTGACTCAATTGTTGTGTTAGCACACAATACAACTCTCACTAACGTTATAATGAATTGACTAAACGTTACAATTAACCCGAGGGTCACGTGAGGGGTAATCAATTGCTTATATGTTTGTAATCATTTTAATTTAGTTACATCACAGTTATAAACATTTTGAACATTAATTTAAATTAGATTAACTCAAATAATATACAGTAGTTTTTATTGTGTATTAATTAAATAATTCAAAAAGTTTTACAGTATATATCAATTCATTTTATAAACCATACGGACAGACAAATTGTTACATAAATACTGACTAATCATAGTTCATAATACACTAATTATTAGTGATTATAAAAAGCATATTTTAAGCCAAAATAAACCGACAAAACAATATCAAAGTAATCATAAGTATTGCTATCAATAAAAAGTGCGCCGTTTTTAATGTCATCGCAAAGTTTGACGCAAACAATGGATCACTTATTGGACTACAAGACGTTTCATATGATATCCAAACACTTGACACCAGAGGAATACAAGAATCTGAAGATTGTGTGCGTTTTGGGCCACAAATCAATCATATATGTGACAAATGAAGACAAAGTGTACGCATTTGGCGACAATGCGAAGGGGTGTCTGGGTTTGGGCATTGATTACCCGGCCATACAGTGGCCAACACTTAACACATACCTGAGCGGCAAGTGTTTGACAGATATCCACTTCGGACAAAAGTTTTGTATCGGACTGACAGCGGATGGCCGGTGCTATTCATGGGGTGCCAACGATTTCGGTCAACTGGGCGTCGGTGTAAGCGATATAAATTCGGTGCCGCAACTCATCGGCAATAAATTGACTGACAAACGCGTGACCCGTATGTCTACCTCTACTTCACATACCGTTGCGCTGACAGAATGCGGTCGAGTGTATGGCTGGGGCCGCAACACGTTTGGCCAGTTGGGTGACCGCACTGTCGACCACAAGTTTCAACCCGTGCTCATCGAGTTTGGCCATAAAATAGCTGACATTTCGTGCGGTAAAACCCACTCAATGGCGTTGACAGACACGGGCCGAGTCTACGCGTGGGGTAACAACAGTTACGGACAGTTGGGTCGAGAGATGAAGACTAACGACAAGAATTGCTTGATGTCTACCATTAGTCGTCCAAAACTTTTAGACTTTATTCCCGCTGTCAGTAAAGTCGTGTGCGGTTCCGATCACTCCCTGCTATTGACCACCGATGGAGACATCTATGGGTTTGGGATGAACTCGTGCGGACAGGTAGGCAATGGCACCAAAAGTACTCGTCAGTGTCTGCCAACTAAAGTCTTCGCTCAGATAAAATTCAAAGACATTATCGCTAAAAGTTTTAGTCACATATCAATTGGTGTTGCGGTCGACGACGAGTACTATATATGGGGTCAATGCGACCGAAAATCGATACTTAGACCGCAAAGAGTAGACAAAACTGGCATTAATTCTGTGTTTGAATTGTTTGTTAAGTTTTCAATTAAGATGTCACACATTGTCTGTCCATCAAATCAATTGACGAGTGCTTCCAATGAACGCTCAGATGTTGTGACCACCGATTCAGACACACAATCGCGTCGCACAGACTTAAATATATTGCTCACTTCGTGGGCATGTTTTCAACAAAATTTGTGCCAATCGTTCAATAATCCCGAAGACTATGACATTGTGTTCCGGTTTAGGGATCAACTGATTTATGGCCACAAAATTATATTTCAGATCCGAAACGCGAAGTTTTGGGACAAATGCCAAAAATATATGGACGCCAACAGCAAAGAGATTCGTGTCAAACAATATTCATACAAAAGTATTTTGGCATTTATTCAATATTTTTACACTAATTGTGTGGAAATCGGCGCCGATTTTGTCGACCAACTGTTAATTCTGGCCAACATTTACGGCGAAGAATTGCTGGCGAAAAAGTGCTATCAGTTTATGATACAAACCATTGATGTCTTCAATGTGTGCCAACTCTACGCCAAAGCAATGAAACTGAAGTGCAAAGAACTGGAGACCAAATGCCATGAATTTATGGCACAGAATATAAGAGAAATTTGTTTTACACAAGAATTTCGAGAATTTGACGACCGCTTAGCAAAACAGTTCATTATTCATGCATTCACTGCAAACTCTAATATTATGTAATTTTAACCATTATTTACTTGTATTAGAATCTTGAATATCAATTCAATCTTAATAAAATTAATTAAGTTTTAAATATATGCTGTTATTCAATGTATCACTCGTTATATTTGTTGTCAAATAAATGCTTTTTAGAGATGAGACTATTATGACATAATGTAATGACTATTGTAATGTAAGTGTGGGTCCAAAGTGTATGTCGGGTGTAATTTGAGACCATGTTTAAGTATTATTAGCGAACATTGTTAAAATCAAAATGTATCAATAATAATCAAATCAAATAAACATAAATGTAACATTAAAATACAAACAGCTTTAACAGTTATAATGGAATACATGTATAACGAATGCTGTGGTCAACCATGATTTACATAGATTATGGGATTAAGATAACCAGGATATACAGGTATACATCACACCTGTACTGTACATCCAGTTGTATCAATTGTGGCAAACGTTTTAAAACTAGTCTTGTTATTGAAAACACGTTGTTTTTAGTTGACTAACAAATGGATCAATTACTAGATTTTAAGACATTTCATATAATACCAAATTACTTGACACCAGAAGAATATCGAAATCTGAAGATATTGTGTGTCTTCAACCGATTATCCGTCATATATGTGACAAACGAGGATAAAGTGTATGGTTTTGGCAATAATGGCAACGGATGTCTGGGTTTGGGCTCCGACTACAAGAACATACATCGACCCACACTTAACACATCTCTGAGCGGCAAGTGTTTGACAGATATCCACAGCGGGTACCAGTTTTGCATAGGATTGACAGCCGATGGCCGGTGCTATTCGTGGGGAGTCAACGAATTCGGTCAACTGGGCGTCGGTAATGCGGACAAGCATTCGGTGCCCCAATTAATTGGCGGTGAATTGGCTGACAAACGGGTAACTCGTGTGAGTGTCTCTATTTCACACACTCTAGTGCTGACCGAATGCAGTCGAGTGTACGGCTGGGGCCGCAACACGTTAGGCCAGTTGGGCGACGGCACTGTCAATCACAAGTCTGAACCCGTGCTCATCCATTTTGACCACAAAATAACTGACATTTCGTGCGGTAAAACACACTCAATAGCCCTGACAGAGACGGGCCGTCTCTACACGTGGGGTAACAACAGAAACGGACAGTTGGGCCGTAAAATTCCCGAAAAGAGTAGTGGCCTCAGTTTAACTATGAATTCTCCGAGTCTATTGGATTTCAATCTCGTCGTCCGTAAAGTTATTTGCGGTTCCGAACACTCGCTTGTATTGACCACCGATGGAGAGATCTATGCGTTTGGTCTCAATTTGGTTGGACAGGTAGGCAATGGCACCACAAGTACTCATTGTCTACCGACCAAAATCTCGGGTGACAACAGATTTAAGGATATCATAGCAAACAGTATGACCAGTACATCAATAGCCATTGCGGTCGACGGCGAGTACTATATATGGGGTGAATGTGAAGACAAACAAATACTTAGTCCGCAAAAAGTAGACAAAAATGGTATTAAATCTGTGTTTGAATTGTTTGTCAAATATTCAAAATTCAAGACAACTTATAAAACAATTGTTTGTCCGCAAAATCAATCGACAAGTGATTCAATTGAATGTTTAGACATTGTGTCCAACGATTCAGACATAACATCTCCACAAGAAGTCACTCAACCAGAAAAGACAATAGTCTTTAAGGTAACAAATCCAGTAATGCCTCAAATTAGAAAAATGGGATCAAATTGTATACCAAAACGTGATATGGCTTTTGAGCAGCACTCGTCGGTAACCATCAACACTGCATTCAACAATCAATCATCACTTTTCAACTCAAAGATATCACTCACTTCTTCATCGGATGCGACTATTTTTCAGCAAAATCTTTGCGAATTATTCAATAATCCCGGAGACTATGATATTGTGTTCCGACATTCAACAATCAATCATCACTTTTCAACTCAAAGATATCACTCACTTCTTCATCGGATGCGACTATTTTTCAGCAAAATCTTTGCGAATTATTCAATAATCCCGGAGACTATGATATTGTGTTCCGGTTTAGGGATCAATTGATTTATGGCCACAAACTTATACTTAGGATAAGAAACAAAAAGCTTTGGGAGAAATGCCAAAAATATATGGACGCCGATAGCAAAGAGATTCGTGTCAAACAGTATTCATATAAAAGTTTTTTGGCATTTATTCAGTATTTATACACTAATTGTGTGGAAATCGGCGCGGATTTTGTCGACAAATTGCTAACTCTGGCCAACATTTACGGCGAGGAATCGCTGGCGAGTCTGTGCTTTGAGTTTATGATACAATCCATTGATGTCTTTAATGTGTGCCAACTCTACGCCAAAGCACTGGAACTGAAGTGCGAAGAATTGGAGACCAAATGCCATCACTTTATGGCACAGAATATGAGAGAAATTTGTTTAACACAAGAATTTCGTGAATTTGACAGCGATTTAGCAAAACAGCTCATTATTCAGGCATTCACTACGAACTCTAATATTATGTAATTTTAACCATAATTTACTTTTATTAAAATCTCGAATATCAATTCAATTATTTTTAATTATCAATTTAATATTAATAAAATTAATTAAGTTTTAAATATATTTTGTTATTCAAAGTATAACTCATTATATTAG